GAATGGAGGCACTATCATAACTGCCCAAGACCTGGAGCAACCAAAGTATCCATCGAGCAGCACGGATGGAGCAGGACAGTCACATGGTGTGACATGACCCAGGGGTGCGAAGGAGCCTCACAAACACGGCGAGGGGAGGCACAGAAGATGCACACTGATGATCTGGCTCGTGTAAAGTTCAAATCCGGGCAACAATGAGCTATACTGTTTAGGTACAAACACCTGCAGAGGGAGGGAGACGAAGCACTATGATCACGGCGGCAGAGCGCCGCTCACCGCAGGCTGGAGGCAGGGCTGTGGGCAGCCAGCGCTCAGCCCAGCACAGACTGCTCCGCTGTTTGCTTTATACTCTTTGTTAGACTGTTCACATGCTTTATATGTAAAAGGAGAAATGGTTCATGGTGCTGTAATGGAGCAGGGTTCTGGGTGACCCTTCTTCTCTTTACTTTATTGGATTCTTCAAGATGAACATGTACTCTTTACATAACCAGGAGAGAGGGCGCCGGAGTTACCCTCACTGCGGGGGGGGTGAGCCTCTCCCCACTGGACTCATCCCAGCTGCACCGCCACCCACTCTGGCCTGGGTCCCATGCCCGTGAGTCACAGCACCTCCTTGTCAGTCAAACACCATGAAAAAGTTGTCTATACACATGCTCCTGACTCTTTTCTCCTACTCACCCTTCAGTGTAACTGTGAAACATTCAGGATCCAGACAGGCATGAAGAACAAAGTCATGAACATGAGTGTGCCCACTACCCAGCCTGAAAAACAAGGAAAAATACAGCTCTCCACAAGCATCCTCTCTACCGCTCAGAAGTAACAGCTACACGGACTTGGCAGCATGATTCCTGGGTGCTGTTTACATTTTACCATATATGAAGGATGGCTAAATATTGTATATACCCGTATTCAGTATCTCTGAAAAATATTTTGCAATTTTTTAACAACTTGGCTGCCGTGGAATCCTATAGCCTGCACCCTTGTCCGCTTGCTCGCAACTGCTGATGGCATCCACCCTTTTGCTCTGTGCCCATCCAGGGCCTGCCTTGTCTGCTGCACAGAAGCCCACTGCCCCCTCTGCAGTGTAGCTATGTGCCCCCACTTCTCCTAGGTGGCCCCTGAGGACCCCACCCTGGCATTCATGCCCTTTCCCAGGCTCCTCCCACGGTGAATAGTGCCTGTTTAACGGCGGGTGTGGCTTCCATGGTTAGGTCATGGAGGACCCTAGCTTGGGCCTTGCTCTGATCTCATGTTCTGGGTTATGCCAGCACTGTGTTGTGAGGACACTGCACTCTGGCATCTAGGTGGATAGGAGTGGGGGGCCCCAGCCACAGCCAGCATTAAAAATGTTAAATCACCTTACCATTGCAGAGATTCATCGACCTCAGTCATGATGATTTCACATGCATTTCTAGGTTTGGTTTGGTTTTTATGTCCACATTTGTAAGTGAACTTGGCTGATAATTTTTATCATACTTCCCTTCGCTCATTCTGATGTAATGGTTACATTCGTCTCATGAAATGTTTCTTCTTTTTCTCTTTGCTAGAGTAGTCTGATGTACAATGTTGGAATAACCTTCTCCTTTGAATATTAGGAAGAATTGGCCTGTACAACCTTCAGGTCTTAACATTTTTTGTGGTTTTGCTTTGTTTTGTTTTGGTTTTATTTGGGTGTATTTTCAAACCACTTATGCAATTTATTTCAAAGGTTGTATGTCTATTCAAGTTTCCTGTTTTATTTCTTGAGTGAGTTTTGGTAGGTTATCTTTTTAACTAGAAGCTTATCCATGTCATCTGAGCTTTCAAATTTGTTGACATAAGCTATCTATAATAAGAGCCTTTTAAAAAGCCTCTACTGTGTTTGCACTATATCCTCTTTCGAGTCCCTAGAATTGCTCTTGGATACCATCCTTATTTTTCCTCACCAGTCTTCCCAGTTTTGACTATCAGTCTTTGCAAAGAACCTACTCACTCTTTATTCTATTGGTGCTCTGTACTGCATTTTTTTCTACTCATTGCTCTTTATTACTTCCTTCTCTTATTAGATTTATTCTTCTTTTTAACTAATTATGCAGGCAGGCAGCTCATCAATTCTCAGTCTTTGCTGTTTTCTAGCACAAGCATTCCAGGCTGTGACCCTCCTTTTAAAACCCTTGTTAGGTGCACCACTTAAGTTGCATGTTCACTACTGCTCAGCTGTGATTCATGTTAGAGGGTCTGTTTTGATCCTAGAGTTATTTGGAACAGTCTGAACTTCTAAATATGAGTCTGGGTAAAAGACTCTCATTGCCTTTCAGCACCCATTCTCTTCTACCTAATTGCATAATGGGGGGAATGATGGGGTAATCAAAACATTTCCAGTCTCCCTTGCAGATAGGCCAGCCAGCATATGTCTAACTTTCAATCACAGAAAGATGAGGGAATGTTACTGCTTAAACTTCTAGGAGAGCTCCAGGGAAGGAGGGCACAGTCTGCAGGAATACCTCTGCCCTTGCCCCTCTTCCTTCCTTCTTCTGGCCTTAAATGCAGATGTGACAGCAACGGCCTGGCAATCATCCTGCACCTCGAGGATGGTGGGGCTGATAGGAGCAGCCTGGGTCCCTGGGGAGCAGGAAAGCCACCCAGCCAGCCAGCCCTGAACTAACTTAAACCTCCATGATGTGAAAGAAAATAAACCTATGTTGTGCTTAGCTATTATTAACTGGCCAAATGCAATTCCTAACTGATGAAGAGGTTTTTAAGACATCACTTTGGTATTGATATTTTATTATAAAACTTCACACATATGAAAGTATTTATAACTTAGATTAATAATAAAATGAATTATTCATCCATTCATCTACCACCTTCCCTGAAGAAAAGTGGAACCTTTCTGGTTTCGCTGATTCCCGACAGCCATCCCCTCACCTGCCACTGCTCACCCCACCAAAGGGGGCTGCTGTTCTGGATTCTATGTTTCACATTCCCTTATTTTCCATTTATAGTCATGCTACACATTTTTGTAACCCTAAATTATAGAGGTCTACTTGGCTTGTGTTTAAACCTTTATATAAATTGTATCATGTTGTGTACTTTTCTTCAATTTCCTCTTTTCCTCAGCATTATGAGACACAGCTTCACTGATATGTGTAGCTATGGTTCACTGAATCTCATGGCTCTGTACTGTTTATTGCATGAACACACCACGGTCTGTCTATGCAGCCCCCGTTTATGGTGCATGGGCTGCTCTGAGCTCTAGGATGTTGCAAATGCTGCTGCAAACACTCCCAAGCTCTCCTCCTGGTGACCCAAGAGACCAAGCTCTCTAGGAGAGTGCCTCCTGACTTTTCTGACACCTTGGCATATATAGAAAAGTATGGCATTTACAGGGCCCACTGCTGGTAAACTAGGTGGTGTAGAATTCTGGACATGGCTGCAGAGGTAGCCCACAGAGCAGGCACCTTGAGGGGTAAGGGGATCAGAGAGAGGAAGCACTGCCCCGCAGCATGGTGGCAGAGCCCTGCAAATAGAGTAAATGGAACATGGTGTGATCAGGTCTACTGGACTAGAAAAGATCAGTCTCCCAAAGGGATCTGAACTATTTGCACTCATAGGCACCGAGTCAGAGTTCCACTGCTCCTCAGTCTCCCCAAATCTGGATGTTGTTAGACTTCACTTCTGTAAACTCTCCCTGTGGCCTTATTTCAGGTTTTCCTTCCTCCTAGCAAAGCTGAGCACCTGTGTTTACAGCTATGCTAGTCCCTCTTCTGTGCAAAGCCTATGTTCTTCTTTAGCCATTTTTTATTGGGTTTGGTATTTTTACAGATTTTGGGGGGCATCTTTAATATATCACAGAAAGAAATTACTCATCAGTTTTCCATATTATAAAACTGTATCCCTACTATAGCCTGCTTTTCACTGTTTGTTATTTGATACAGTGAAGAGATTCTGTTCCCAACCACTTTCCTTATGGTCTGAGCTTTGTTGTCTGGAGGAAATGCTCTATGTTATTGATTTCTAACCTATGATTCTGTAGTCAGAGGACATGTTTTGTGAAGCAAATACTTTGAAATATTTTGAGTATGGCTTTCTGACCTAGCATGAGGTTAACTTCTGTACATGCCCAGTGCTTGAGGATTTTCCAGTTGTTGGCTGGAGGGTTCTGTAATGTCCAATAGATCAGGGATGATAAACAGCAGCTGGAGGGACGGTTGACAAATCCAGTCCTGGCCATCTGTTTACATATTGTCTAGGGCGGCTTTCACTCCACAAAGGCAGAGCTAAGCAGTTGAGACAGAGATCATATGGCTTCATAAAGCTGAAAATATTTACTAAGTGGCCCTTTAAAGAAAAAGTTTGCCAAGCACTGTGGTGTTCAAAACTGTTTCCCTTCATTTCTGTGTCAGTTAATGGAAGAGCTATTTTAAAATCTTCTATGACATTTTTGGCAATTTCTGTTAATCTTTGCTCATTATTTTATGTTGAGAGTTATTAAGTGAAAACAAGTTTTAAATTGCTCCATTTTCCTGTTACCTTCCTTCTTCTATCATTAAAGCAGTGGTCCCTTTTGTCCCTAGTAATTATTTCTGCTTTGAAATCTGTTGGGATGATATCATCACCCCAACATTCTTTTTGTTACAGCCCATATTTTTCCATCCTTTTATGTCTTACATTTTGGGTGTGTCTCTCCTAAACAAAATAGCCTACAGCAGCACTGTTTTTCCATGGAATCTGACAATCTCTGTCTTTTAGTCAGGAAGTTTGGTCCACTTATTATATATAGTGAGAAATGTATTTGGTTTCATCTTAGATGTTATGTTTATTTTCTATGCACCCCCCCTTCCTGCCTTCCTTTGGATTAAAAATTTTTAACTTCAGTTTTTACCTTTTTTGAAGTTTTAACATATTCATAAATATGTTCCCCTAACTTCATAACATGAATTCAACTTAATAAAGTCAAAAATTTCATGTGTATTTACCTCCTCCAGAACAATGCAAGAACATTGACCTCTTACCATTACATTTAAACCCCTATGCTTGCTTCTTTGCTGTTTTTATTGTTTTTCATGGAGAAATACATCATCTGTTTTCAAAATAGCGCTTGAAAAATACAAGTAGTACAGGTACTATAAGACAAAGCAAACTCCAGTCATGAGACACTTACATACATCATATGAAAAAAATAGTCTGATATTCAGGTAATGAAAACTAGAAAGTTCCCACTTTTCAGCTTGGTCAAACAAGGATAGTTACATGACACATTTAATCAACCAATTTTCCAAATGTGTAAACAAAATGACAAGACTAAATTTGCCTGACAATTTCAACCTGACACTACAGCTATTGGAAACACACAGGCATCGTGCACACTTCACCTGATTTACTGCTGCGGTGGTGGCGACCACAGGACAAAGAAGTGAGAGACAGGAACACCATGAACCAGACATCAGAAAGTGGGGGTGGAAAGGGAGCCTCAACTACTGCATAGCCTAAACGGAAGAGAGCATATTCCAACTTTGGAGAACTAACCTAGGATAGGAAAAGGGTTTAAGAAATTGTAGCTTAGCATGAAAAATGTGCACATGGTAGCAAGGAAACACGACTGGGGGAGGGGAAGAACCAGAACCAGGCTGACTGAAAACCTGTCATGTTTCCTAAACATGGATGTCCTGCTGCTTAATTATGAATGGCCCTTTTTTTAATTTAAAGAAAGGTATTCTTTAATCTTTTCTAGGATAAAACAAGAGTAGAAAGCTGACCAATGTCAAGTGCTTGCAAGAAATTATTTTTTATTTGTACATGCAAAATTTATTGGTGAATTTTAGTAAGTCATTTAAAAATATTGGTTTAAAATGCTTGGAGAAAATGCCTTTTTGCTTATGTGTTTAAATTGGAAATTTACTATGAGCAGGTATTCTTTGAGTAGACGTAGACATTAAATGTCTATTCAGATGGTTAACATTTCACAGTCATTACTTTCAGTTAAGTTTTACTAAAATATTAGCCATAGAACCAAAATTTAGTGTTTCACACCATGTGGCCACAGGATTGTTGTTTCACATCATGGTTAGGAAAATACTAGCATTCTGGGGTTTTTAATGAAACAACATACAAGCCTACCTTGTGCATAAAAGCAAAGAGAAAGGGAGAAGGCAAAAGGCTCTTTTTTTTTTTTTTAGGATAAGTATGATTAAGGACAAAAGAATATGGAGTTTTGTTGGCTCCAAGACAATATTTGCTGTTTGGTGATCATATACACTCTAAATTAAAAACAATTCCACTGATAAAACCAGTGTATTTCTTAGTTGTGTCCATCAAAATGAAAGACACCCTAATTCCTGTTTCAATGCCAAATATATACCATAAGAGTTGACATTTCATTTTAAAGGGCTACAGCTACCCGCCAGGGACTGAGCTAGATATACTTTATGTCTTTTCTGAAGTATAGTACACTGCACAATGACATCCAGTCTGGAAATTAATAATGAAGAAAACTCTTCAGGAAAAAATCTCATCAAGCTGAAAAAGCTAAACTTAGTTCTACTTCCTAATAAAAATATACATAAAGTGCATCACCAGTATCAGGCATTCTGAGACCAGTTTGTATTGTAAGTTTTCCCCAACAGTGCATAAAACAAATCCAGTCCAGATGTCAATCATGGACATAAACAGAGCTGGAGGGTTTTTTTTCTTTTTCTCTCTTTAAGGGCAACAGTCCTTTGAAATAGTTAATATAACTGCTGTTGACACATCACTAATCTGACACACACTAATAATAGTACTTCTAGCTTCACATACCAACCTGGACTTCTGATAGAGATTAGCCAGGTAAAGGAAGTGAACCGAACAAGCTTACATCTATTTTGAGTCATTTCAAGTTTGGTACCCTTCATTCTCCTCCTCTAGCATTTGAAGACAACAGGTTGAGTTGGCAGCCATTGTTGATGGACCTGCAAGGTTTTTACCAGTCTGTCAGGAATAGGATTTGCAGAGCTGGGATAGCAGAAACGTCTGCAAGGGATGTTTTCTGTGAGGCCAACAAGGAAGCCGCCATATGAACAGTTGGAGTTGTACTCATCTGTTTGAGATGTTCCTCTTCTGCTTGGTTCCATTAGTCCTTTCTTGTTTGTGAGGTGCGAATACCCTCTAGACTCCCACCACAGGGTTAGCTATGTTTGCTGCTGTGCTCCCTGAAGGCCTTGAAGGATGGTTTACCAGACACGATGAAGAAACAACTCTGGAGACCATGGGCTTCAGTGGAGGAGAAAGGGCTGGTTGTGAGGAAATCTGATTAACGCTTTCACTCGATGCACCCCCCGAGCTTTCACTAGGGCTCGCTTCTTGCAAAGAAACTTCAGTAACCTGTACGCTGGTCACAGATGCTGCCATTACTGCTGAGACAGGGCTGTTTCTGCCCTGAGAACTGCCAGTCTTTAGGCCGGTCTTCATAGAGCTAGCAGGTGAAGGCACAGATGTGCTGATTTCACTGTCCACAGACAAGTCAAGGTTGCTGTCATTCAGAGCTGTCAATGTGACACCATCTGTTGAATGCAGTTTCTTTCTCTGAAGCACGTGATTAGGTAGTAGTTGATGAAGTTCCTTTCTTCTTATATGCATTGCAGCAATTTTCATATCCATCTCAAACATCTTATTATTTATTGCTTGCCTATAAATTATATCTGTGAAAGACTGAATATCACAGGTGAGATCAATACTAAGAACGTCCAAGTCTTCAGGCTTTTGTAATACTAACCCAATCACCCACATCGTATGAAATTCCTCCTTGTCAAGGTTTTCTATAGGTGCTGGAAATGACTGAGGGTTCACATGAGCCAATGTAATAAACTCGTTCTTCTCCAAGCTTCCAACCAGGAACCGGATCTTTGACTCCACCAGGCCCACCCACTCTAGGTGTTGTTTTTCTGTTGGTGCACTTGCTAGAAGTACAATATAATGCTTGTACTTCTGAAAGAAGCTTGGAGCTTCAAAAAGCTTGGACCACTCTGCCTTACTCAGCAAAATTTCATGTGTGATAGCAAGCCCTTGCTTAAACTCCTCAATCATGACCATCCATGTTGAAACAGATACATTGTATGTGGAGTTCTGCTGTGGGTATGCTGGTGTAATTATAGGCATAAGATGGTACCTATCACTGGGATTTACTCTTGGGTCCCACACAGGCAAGTTAAGATTCCGTTCTTCAGGCTCTTTCAGCAGCACTGGATTTGGCCATTCCCATTCAGAAAATACCAAGAAAAACTTATGTACTAGAGTTGATGCTTTTGCATTTGGATAAAGCTGGCAAATCCTTGCTACTAGCATTGCCCAAGAAACACCTCCAAGGAAACCTAATATATTGGAATAGATATTGCGGCATTTGGCCCACAACTTGATGGCTCTCAGGGTTAACCTGAAGTTGTCAATGTTTGGTACTAGATGTAAAATTTCATCAGTTACACGGCAACCGTTAAGGCTTCTTATGCATCTAATATCTAAATTTTGAAGCAGATTGTCATCTCTTAAATCCAAATCTTCTGGAATAGTTTGCAGTGCTAATCTTGCAAATAAAATATCAATCTCTATTCCATCAAAACACAGTTTGATAACTGGTACAAATGCCTCCTCAACAGCCCTCAAGTCTTTTACTTCTCCATGCAGTTTCAATTTATCATAGAAGGAGGTGAAAAAATCGCTTCTATCAACATGTCTTGGTGCAACGCACAACGCATCAATATCGGCACCTTTCGTATGTACTCCTAATCTGTAAGAACCAAATGTAAAGATTTTCCCTCCAACGTTTTCAATTACAGCTTGTGGAAGACTCTTGCTTTCACTGATTTCTTGTATCCATTCTTTTACCAGATTATTTAATTTTTCCAAAATTAAAATCCTGCGCTGTAGTTCCTCTTCCTCTTCAAAAACCCCGAAGGGCTTCAGGGTTTCAATTAATTTCTGGGTGAGTACGCAGTCAGTCTCCTTGGGGGCAGCTAACCGGATGGGAGAGGGAATGCCGTGGTGCTTGGGCGGCGGCGGGGTCCACTGTGAGCCGGGGGCTGTCTCTGGAAACGGCATCATGTCTAGCGCCGGCCCCGCCACACCACATCCCCCGCCACCGCGACCTCCACGGCGGCCGCCCAGCTCATGATCTGCTGAGGCAGGAGGGGCGGGGCTCCTACCAGCCCAAGTTCGACCCGCTCCGCTCACGCCGCTTCAGGCGCCTCTCCGCTGTCCCCTCGGCCGCAACATGGCGCCCGGGTGCGACGGTCTAGAACAGCCACGCACGGCACGCACGCCAGAGTGCCTGCGTGCCGCAACGGGCGCCTCACGGGAGTTGTAGTTTCAGGGTCCGCGGGCTTCAGGCGGGGGTGCATGTTGGGGCGCACCCAGGTTTGGGGCCTCGTTCGTACTGCTGTCTGTGTTCACCCAGGCCTGCCACCGAGTCCCTGCTGTCTCCTCGTATGCGTCAGGCCCACTTCCTCTGCGGGGCGTCTTGTCGGCCTTCGCCCCAGCACGCACCCTTGGTCGACGCCCTCGCGGGTGGGGCGGCGGGTGAGAGCGGCTCTCGCAGCGTCCCTGCCTCGGGGTCTGGATGACAGTTTTGCTGGGGCTGCCCCTCCGGCTCCCGCGTGCTGACTTCTGCTCCCCGAGCTTCCTGCGAGTCGTCTGCCGTCAGGCTGACCTGCAGCTCACCTGTCGCATCTTTGTGGCAGCTGCGAAAATCGGCCTCTAGTGCCAGGCAGTACTGCCCCGGGATGTCAAGGGGTGAACTCGTTCCTCTTACGCAGGGCACACTTGGTCGGAAGATTCTCAGGCACGTCCTTGGCGTGTCCTCCCTACCACTCTCTTATTTTCTTCATGTAGGCGTATGATAGGCCTTCTCATTCTGTTCTCCATGCCTCGTGACTCATATTTCTTGCTGGGTGAAGCCAGCTCTACCTGTCAGTTCTCTGTAATCCTCTCTAAAGTTGTTGTCTGCTGTGTAAGCCATCACTGAAGTATCCATTTAAAAACACATTTCTCTTACTGGAACATTATCTTGCTCTTTTCCAAAATTTCCCAGCCATTTTGGATGATATTCTGTTCTTTTCTGTTTTCTTTCTACCTTTTATTTCATCAAACATCTTAAATATACTTAATATTATATAACTAATGGTTCCACTTCCTAATGTTTTTGAGAGTCTGATGCTATGGCTGTCTTGTAATTTTGGATTGTGAGCTTATCTTTGGCAAGGCTTGGGACACCTGTGTGGATGTCCTGGTCAAGGCAATTTGCTTTGCTTCTGTCAGCTGTCCTCATACACCATCAAATTATGTACACTGTACTTTGGTTTCTTTTCTAAGGATTAGTCAGATCACCTAAGTAGTATAATTTTGAACCCCAAACACATGTGAGATGAAGAGTGGTTTTCAATTCTAGGGAAGAATATTAAGCTTTCCCCACCCAGAGCTCAGGTTGAGAAAGATAACTGTCATCTCTTATTACCAGGCAGAAGATTCTTCCTGTCCCATCTTTACATTCAATATCTTACCCTTAAAAGTTCCAGCTGTATTTGGGGGTCTCAGTTCCACTCCCTACCTCTGAAGATCCCAAGGTCTATGTCTCTTTTTGCACAGCTATTAAACTGAAGTTTCTGGGTTACAAAGACTGGCAAATGCCTCTGAGGCAATTACAGCTTCAGAATCAGCTATGATTTTTAGGGTTTAGTGTACCTCTTTGTATTTTTTACTCCTAGGCATTTACTTTATTTTTCTTGGGTACCAACTATGCATTTAAAAAGGAAATTTGTTAGATTTCATCTAGCACTTCCAGGTACTTTACATAAAAAGCTTTTTCCAGGATAATTCATTTTAAAATTCCAAGATAAATAACATTGCCAGAAATGTAACTATCTATTTTTCAGTCCATTTCAATATGTTTTGCATATTAACATTCCAGCAAAACAGCTATCAATAAGGTCTTTGGTGACCTCCTACTTGCTCAATCCAGTGGAGCCTATGGTCTGTATCTCCTTTGACCCATAAGAGCTGTGCCTTGGCCTCCATGGCAGCACAGCCTTTATGTTCTCTTGTATACCTCTCGCCTCCCCTCAGCCTAACTTGCTGACTCCTCCTCCATTATTTAGCCTTTAAGTTGGCATTCTTCCACTTTCCATGTTAAGCCCTCATTTTTCCTCATCATGTACATTCACCACCTAGGTAATCTATCCCTTTTCGTGGCTTTAAATATCACCTGCTTACAGGTTACATTTTTATAATAGACTCTCTTCTGAACACCAAAACCCTGGGAGCCATTCTTGACACCTCACTCTTTTTCACCCTCAACATCCAGTTCATTTACAAACATTGTTGATTCTACCTACAGAATATATTTGGGATTTTCCACTTCTCTCTACCTATTCCCTCATAAATCTAGTCCAAGCTACTATCACCTCTCACCTAGACTCCTACAATACCCTAATTAATCTCCTATTACTGATCTTTTCAAAGTATTTTCTACCTAGTAGCCAAAGTGGTCTTTCATCCCCTTCAGTGGCTGGCCTCACATTAAATGTAGTCTACAGTCCAACATACCTAACAGCCCAGGTTGGTCTCCCCCTGCCCCCTTCTCTGGCCTCTCATCCATCACCTTCCCCTGCTCCTGCCAGGGGCCTTGCTCAGGGCCTTGCATGTGCTTCATTTTCTCTTGCCCCGGGTCTGCACACCATGCTATCTCCTCTGCCTACAAAGCTCTTCCCGTCCCCCAATCCACTACTCTTCTAGTTAGTGTTGTGTCATTTTTGAGACTGGCTGAAATTTCATCCCTCCAGAGGGAACTTCCCTGGTCTCCGTGCTAAATTAGCACAAGTATTCTTTCATAGCACATCAGTTTATAATTGTTTTCCAAGGAATTGTTTATTTCCCACTAGACTCTTAGCTCCATGAGACTGTGAACTATTTGTTTTGTCAGCTGCTGTATGTCCAACACACAGTCAAGTACCTAACGTAGTATAGCACTCAACAGACACTTGCTGACACAAGAACACAAAAAAGAAGATTATTTCTCCTTTGAGTCACTGGCTAAGCAATATTCAAAAGACCCATTTCTTCAGTTTTGATAAGGTAGAGGGGCAGTTTCAAATCTATGCACTGTGATCTTTGGAAAATCATTTCATGACTCGATTCACAGCAACTCAATCCAGGTGCCTGCAGAGATTCTAGGGCCACATGACTCTAGTGACCCATGACACTGAGGCATTTGTTGATTTGAAGATGTTTCCAGGGAGATTTTCATGGGTCGGAGGCTCATAATCAGAGCCTAAGGATGTGGAAGGCCCACACAAGAAAGTACACCATTGTCACGGTAACCTTTCTGGAGCAGCTATTGTCGGGCAGTGCTTACTGGGACATGAAGCAGACATAGCTATATTCCAGAAATTCCATTCCCAGGAGAATACTCCCAGAGAACTCTGCACAGGCCCTCAAGGGGATTATTGTGCCACTATTTGTGGGAGGAAGAAGCTGGATTTAACCTGCGTGTCCCTGGTTAGGGGAATGGATGATGTGGTGTATGTAAAAGTATGCGTCAGTCAAAAGCAGTGAACTGGGTTCACATCAGCAGCATGAGTAGATCTTAATCTTGATTATCCAGTGTCCTTGGTTGAATAGGAAGTTTAAACTGTTCTATTGTCAAATCCATCTACCTTTTCCCATTATAGTTTGTGCCTTTTAAGCCTTCTTTATGAAATCTTTCATTTGGCTCTATAATTTTACCTTTGCTATGTAGGTCTTTAATGCCTTTGGAGTAAGGATCCAACTTTATTTTTCTCCATATAGCAGAAGCCAATTTCCCCAACCCTGGTTACAAAATCCTTTCCCCACAACTTGTGATTCACCCTACATGGCACTAAATCCCCATCGGGTCCGTCAACACAGGTCTGCCTCTACCCTCTCTATTCTGTTTTTCCATCTAGTTAAGTGTTCCTGTCCCCAAACCACATGCACCAACTACCAGGGCTTTATACAGATCTCAGAACTAAAAAGGCCAGTCCCCCCACCCCTGCTTGTCTCACTCACACCTATCCTGAGAGCAAGGCCATTTCACAAGGACAGGCTTGGTCTGTGCAAGGACAGCAGAGAAGGTGGGCTCTGGCTGCATTTCCTCTTTTCACCCTGTATGTACCTGAACAGGTGTTCAGGACCTTTCAAACCCTTGGGAAACATTTCTGCCACTTTAACTTTCAGAAGAAAAAGACACTTGGCTAGCATTCCCCAGCATGTCTACATGAGTGTGCTTTCTAAACCCATGAGAGACACTACTCCGTGTGATTTAAATATATCCCCCCAAATCTTTCAACCAGCATTATAAATCACTATTGGGAACCAACAGATATCAACGTGGTTTAAATGTAAATAACAACATTGTTGTTAATATGTGATTACTTCTTGGAAATGCTTCAGATGGTTGACAGGACAAAGTGGGGATCTCTAGTTCCATTTATCCAAATTCACAATTTTGCTTTTATGTCTCCCAGTTTCAGGAAAACTTTGGAAAGTTTGATCCCCTTTACTGCGGCTTGGTACAGCACAAAAGACATAAAGAAACAGATCAGTTTGGTGCACTAGTTAGACAGCAAGTGGTGGCTAATGAAAATTTTTAAATATATTTCTAGAATTTTAAAATCAATTTCAGTAAAACTGTAAAGAAGTTTTAGAAAATATGAGTTAAGTGCTATTTAGTTTATAAAATCACTAGTTATTCATGACAGCCAATAAACATCTACTCCCGCATGTAAGGTATCCCAATTTGGGGCCAAATGCCAAGGAACATGGGGAATTGGGAACTTGAGCTCACAGAAGCTGTGGGTTGAGAACTCTGGTGTTCTGGTTCAGCCCCTCAACCTGACACCTAATACCTGTGACAGTTCTCCCAGTGCCCAGACACCCCAAGGGCCCTGGGTCCCCGGGGGCACATGTGATCTTCACTGGGCACACTCCTCCTCTGCAGTGTCCATCCTGGCCATGCTTAGGCTGATTCCTCTTGGGTTTTATGTCTTTCAAACAGTTTACCCCAGTTATGAGCTCCCCAGCATTTTCTGTGTTGAGCATTGAGCTTCTATCTGCCTTCGGGCCCCTTATCTAATGGCCAGCAGTCTGGACCGCTCCTGGATTCCTACGGCAAGCAGGGTGGCCCCCGCAATGAAGCCATCAGCAAGGCTGAAGCTGGAAAATCCCGTCTAAATACAGTCTTTCATCCTGGAAACACAAATAAACCTTTCTCTCTAGCTCTTCCCCAGCCGCTGACAAAAACCACAAGGCCCACTGTCACCCCTCCCCTAAGTGAGCATAACTGATTACTGTCTCCACTTCAGTGACAGGACCCAGAGGCCTTGCCACGTTCACAGGTCCTGAACACTGGCCTCAGGCAA